AACTCTTCCATCCGGTCTCAACATGACATGACATTCTGGATAACAAGGAAACGAATTATGGAATGGTCTCTCCGAACTAGCAATTAAACATTCATCCAAGTCCAAAACCAAAGTCATTTCTCTATCGGATTTGATAGCAGGAAGAGAACACAATCCATCCCGAGAGGCATACTTGTAATTGATGGAATTATGACGAATTGTTGATGCAGATGATGATGAATTTTTGAATATTCTTCCATTCTTGTTAAAAGGGAAAGAAATTGATGATGAAAATTTGCAAGATTTTTGTGCTGTGAGAACTTTGAGCATTTTTTTCTAATTTTTAATAAAATTTTTCATTTTTCTTTTACAAATTAATGAAATAAGGGTATCATCAACAATTCTTAATTTACCTGAGGAGAGGTTTATTTTTCTTTACGATACATGACGTCTGTTCTCATGACATATTTAAATTCATTTGGATCACTCAACACACTTCCTTCATGATAATTCGAATGAACAAACATCAAGACTTGACCTGCTTGTGGTTTCACACTATGAATTATTTCACATCTCGAATTGAGAAAGTTAGTTTCACCTCCACTCTCCACATCATTCAAATATAAGAGAACTGTAATGAAAGATCTTTCCACAACTTTCATTTTCTTTCCATTAATTTCCACATTAAGAGTTGGTCTCTGAAAACAACCATCATAATGAGGAGCAAAATATTCTCCAGCTGCATACTTGTAGAAACGAATTCTTTCATTGAGACCACACAATTTAAAACCATCTTGTGGACCTACTTTGAGTGATGACACATTCTGTGGCAGGTATTTCTCTAATTTTTTGTAAAGCATGTCAGAATATTGCTTTTTATCAATCATGGCACGAGAGTTATTTCTAACATCTTTCATAATGGTAGATGAAGTAGGACCTGTTGAAATTGGGGCTTCTCCATAACCAATTTCTTCACTTTCTTTCAAAAGTTTCGAACATTCTTCTGTGGAGAATAAATTCTTGATAACCCAAATGTTGTTTGGATCAATGGTTTCAAGATGTGGTTGCTTAGAGGTGGATGAAGAGATCATTGTTTCTTTGTTTTTTTGAAAATAAATGATATAATTTGAAAAGTTTAAATAATAGTATGAACTTTGAGTTCACAGTTCGAAGCTAATAGGTGATATGAGAACACAATCAAAAATCCGTCAAGCACTTCACCACGTCGAACAGGGAGCTGCTGAATCTTATACTCCTCTCCTCAAATATCGTCAAGAAGATTTACGTGTTTATCAAGTTGCTAAGAAATTGCATACCATGTGGCAAGAAAGCGACTAGGAAAAGCCAATTACATATGATGATATCGAATTTGCCTTCAACTTGTACAAAGTACATTGCGAAAATATGAAAATGATGAAGAGTGAATACTCTCTTGAATATACCAAGTTGATGAAGGTTCTCATTAATATTGTTTTGGTAAACAGAGAATATTGCAAGGTTGCCAAACAAGTTCTCAATGAATCAACAAAGAAATACAAGAAGGATATTTCATCAATTGAATCGGCAATTGAATCTAAATTGAAGGAATATGAATCAACTCAAAGTAATCAAGACAAACTTTTAATGCTCAGACTCTCCTCATACACCATTCAATCTATTTCTAAATTAGACTCTGATTTGGATGCTTATGAAAATATGGTTGTCCAATGTGTGAAATTGATGTATCCAGAAAGATGTATTATCTATGATTTGGACCTTTGTAAAAAACTTCTTTACATTTGCCGTACTACAACAGCTTCTTCCCTTTTGGAAAAGAGCAAGGAAATTATGGATGTTTCCTCAGTTCACTATGATAGAGAAAAACTCTTCCAACAAGCTATTATTAGGGACAATTAAGGTCATCAAATGTAGCCCGTCTAGCTCAGTCGGTAGAGCGTCAGACTGTTAATCTGCAACAAATTTTGAAATGAAAAAAAGACTACAGCACCACAGGTTCCCAAGTTGTCCCAACCTCAGTACTGATGTGGCTCGACGATGCTTAACTTCTCAAATCGGACGGGATGAGGTGCATTCATCATTATATGGCCGTAGCCATTCATTACCTCAAAATGTGTAATATCAGCCCAATTCCATATTCACAGTGAACAAAACCAAGTGATGAGTCAAACCTTATTCTACCATTGCAATAAGGATATGATTATTAATTTACAAAAATCAAAAAAAATGAATAATCACTATCATCAGCACAATGATACGTTTGATGGTGATGATTGGAGCGAGAATTGTCCGATTTTGCTCTCCTCTCTCCTACAAACATTTCATTTAAAAATCTCTCCTCCTATATTATTTGTTACTGTTGAATATTATCAAAAAGATTATCAAAGACAGATTGGATATATTAAAATTCTTTAAAAATGAATTGAAAAGTGCACAAATAGGAGATGGGAAAATGAGACCAGCAGTTGAATTGGTCAAGGAAACACAGGACATTATTGAAAAATTGAAAACTTTTGAAGAATTATCGTTGAGCTATCCAAGTTCTAATTACTTTCATGAATCGTTTAATAATTATATAATAGAACAACAGGAAGCTTACGAACCAATTGAGTTGGATAATATTATTTCCATGCGAGGTTAGTTTATTCTTCTTCTTTCAAGTTTGAAAAAATTTTATGTAGAAAATACCAAGTCAACCAATGATTATGTACGAAATTCCTGTTATACTTCTATTTCAATACTAAAATATTTCAAAAATCTTAAATTTCTCTATCTAGCTGGGTCACCCTGTCAAATAAGAAGTAAAATGATCGACCTGTCACAGAAAAAAATTTAACAGAACTGCTTTCAGAATCAGAGAATGGAAAGTATCCAACATCAGAATATTTTGGTCTGAGAAATACTTATAATATTCCGCAACTCTTACCACTTATTATGAAATCAAATATTGCAAAAAGAGTTCGAGTATTGGATTTATCATTATCAGGTTCAATAACAGAAAATGATGCTCTATTTATTGCAGAGCAAATCCAATTACAGAGAAAAGAATTCACATTGTTAGAATTTGTTGATTTGAGATATAATAATATTCAACTTGAAAATAATCCGAATAGGGATATCGTGATTCAACAAATTGAAGAGGAATTCAACAAAATAGGAATTGCAGTTGATGTATCAAAATCTGATTATTGTAGAATTGCAGAACATTGAAATTTGTTAATCAATTAGTAAACTTGAATTTTACCATAGAAATCGTTATTAAGGAAACGTTTTGTTAATCAATGTAGCCCGTCTAGCTCAGTCGGTAGAGCGCAAGGCTCTTAACCTTGTGGTCGTGGGTTCGACCCCCACGGTGGGCGATTCTATTTTACAATCTAACACCTTATTTCTTGTTTATTTTGAAATAGTTAATTTTACAATAATAAATAATAATTTATCTATAATATTTCACTTATTTTAAACAATACTATCTATTTTTATTAATTTTTATTTAAAAAAAATGAAGAAGCGAATGAGAGAAGAATTTGATCGTAATTCAATCATGATGGAAGGAAAGGAGTAGGATAACTTATTCCCCGATGATATTTGTGAAGAAATTATGCAATGGCTAGCTTGGAAAGATGTTTTATTGAATTGTTGCCTAATTTCCAAGCAATGGTTTACAATTGCAAAATCAAGATATAGAGCAAGTATTCAACTCACATATGGTCAAGAAAAATTATGGCTATGTTTTATTAAAGAGCAGCAGGAAGGATTTCTCGTATATTTAATATTGGTGTT